AAATTAAAGATAATTTTTATTTAAAAAAAAAAAGATACAAATAAAAATATTTTTTTTTTTTTAAGAAAAACTGGGTTTTTAAATAAGAAAGAGATAAAAAAAAATTAATAGGATTTTAACATAAAAAGAAATAAAAAAGAAATAAAAAAAAAAACTAAGAAATCAAATGAGTCATATTAGTGCTAAAATCACGATTTTAGAAGCAAAGAATACAATTTCTCATAAAGGAGAAGGGATTGATTCATATTTTAAATTAAAAGCTAATTTTTTAGCAGTTGCACTTAAAACAAGAACAGCAGAAAAAAGTTCAACACCAAAATATAATGAAACATTTACAATTGAAGTTCCAGATAGTCAAAAAAAAGGAGTTAGTAGAACAATAATATTAATTGGATATAAACCAAAAAGATTTTCAGATAAAATACTTGGAGAAGTAGAAATTAATTTAGAAAAGAATGAAGATATTGATGGATGGTTTGAATTAAAAAAGAAAAAAGAAGATAAAAAAGGAAAAGTTAGTGTTCATGTTATAGTTAAATTTGCAGGAAAAAAAGAAATTAAAAAAGAAGAAACATTTGAAGAATTTGCAGATAGAAGTGAATTTGATAAAAAATATACAAAAGAAAATGAAATTGGACAAGGAGCATTTTCAGTAGTTTATAAAGGAATTAGAAAAGAAGATGGAGTTAATGTTGCAGTTAAACAAGTTAATAAAACATCACAAAGTAGTGATCAATTAAAATTATTAAGAAGAGAAATAGATGTAATGAGAAAATTATCAAATCATCCAAATGTAGTTAAATTATATGATGTTTATGAAGATGAAAAAACTATATTAATGGTTATTGAATATATGTCAGGAGGAGAATTATATGATCAAATTATTCAAAGAGGAAGTTTTACAGAAGCAGATGCAAGTGATATTGTATATCAAATTCTTTCAGCACTTTGTTATATTCATTCAAATGGAATAGGTCATAGAGATTTAAAACCAGAAAATTTATTATGTGCAACACCAAAAGGAGATATTGTTAAAATAGCAGATTTTGGATTATCAAAAGATAATTCAGATGGAAATACAGCAATGACTACATGTTGTGGATCACCAAGTTATGTAGCACCAGAAGTTTTAGAAGGATCAAGTTATGATCATGAATGTGATATATGGAGTCTTGGTGTAATTACATATGTATTATTATCAGGATATTTACCATTTTTTGGAGAAACACAAGATGAATTATTCCAAAAAATTATGTCAGGAGATTATACTTTTAATTATTCATGTTTTAAAGGTGTTTCAGAAGAAGCAAAAGATTTTATTAATAAATGTCTTGTTGTTGATCCACAAGAAAGAGCTACTGCAGCACAACTTATGGAACATCCATGGGTTCATCCAGAAAATAGAAATCTTCCAAGTAGAAAAGTGCA